CGCCTGAGGAGGGCGTGCCCCAGGGGGCCGGACTGGCGGTTTTCAGTGTCTGGAGGTGTGATGCAGGGACCAGGAGTGAGGCGAGGTCGCAGACCAGCGTTCGGTCTAGTTCTTAAGCATTGGCACAGCTGGTCCGCGGAGGAGTCAAGGGCGAGCCAGTGGCTTTGGTCGGTGCTCATCTGTTCCTGGAAGAGAGGTGTTTATTTTTATTGTTACTATTTTTTAATACTCCTCCGAGGATATTTTCTCCTTTTATCTTCAGGTAGAGTGTGAGGAGAGGAGAGAGAGAAACATCGATGTGAGAGAGAGACATCAACTGGCTGCCTCCTGCACGACCTGACTAGGACTGGGGATGAACCGCAACCGATGTACGTGCCCTTGATGGGGATTGATCCCATGACTCTTTGGTCTGAGGGCTGACACTCTAACCACTGAGCAGAACTGGCCAGGGCTGGGAAGAGAGGTTTTTAAAAGATGAAGTTCAGCGTGGGCGTTGCATCAGAAGCATGCGGAGTCCATTGTGAAGAGCAGTTGTTAGTGGCTTCCCAGCAGGAGAGCCGCACCACACCTCTTCCAGCCAGAGGGCCCTTCTCTGTCACCTGATACAAGACATTGGGCAAAGCCATTGCGGAGCTCATTTATTTTTCATGCCCCTGCAAGCTCAAGTCCATGAAATAATCATTGTCTGTCTCCATGTCTCGCTCTGCAGCACCTTCCACGGTCCTGGGACAGGTCTGCGAGGAAGCCCTTGCAGCAGAGCAAACCTGCCCCAGCAGAGACGCGTCCGCCTGCCAGGCGAACGACAAGCAGTTCGTCAGCACAGCCTGAACCGCTGTCTGCAGCGGACCTGTTATGTCTGTCTGGCCTTCAAGAATGTTTTTATTTTTATTTATTTCATTTTATTAAAATATTTTTTCCTTTATTGATTTTAGAGAGAAGGGAGACGGAGAGAGAGATGGAAACATCAATGAGAGAGAACATCGATTGGCCACCTCCTGCGTGCACCGCACTGGGGATCGGGCCCAACACCTGGGCATGTGTCCTGACCAGGAATCGAACCAGCAACCGCTTGGTGCATGGGTCAGCGCTCAACTACTGAGCCACACCGGCCGGGCTCAAAATTATTTTTAGATGTGCAGTTCAGATGTGTAGGATTGAGCCTCCCAGGGTTTAAGAATATTTCACTGATTTTGAGGACTCAGCGTTAGCTAGCACACAGAAGTCAGGTTTCTCAGCCATAGTCAGTAACTTGGGACCGTGGCAGAGGCCCCCAGACTCACAGTTGGAATCAGAGAACCCGCATAAAGCAGTGCGCCAATCTTCACGGCGCTTCCCTGCTGTGAAGCTCAAGCGCACGCCCCGGTGTGTGTATTCGGGTTTCTGAGCAAGTGTGAGCGCCCTCTGGAGGCTGGCGAGCAGTGCAGACAGGCTCCTGCAGAAGGTTTTCTCTAACAGCGAGGGCAAGAGCCAGGGGACTGCATGCTTGAGCTGGTGTGAACGCCACTTGGGGGCAGAGGAGAGCCAGAAGGAGCTTATGGAGCCCTTCAGGCAGACTGAGAGTAGAGGTCACTGAGCCAGGGGAGCACGGAGGCAGGGGAGTCTTGAGGGAGCCCGAGAAGTGTGGTGGCGGAGCCCACCAGGGTGGAGAAGGACGGATGCCCTTGGGCTGGCCAGGAGGAGCTTGGGTGGTGGTGGGTTGAGGAATGAAAGGGAGTGAACCAGGGGAGAGTGTATGGCAGGTAGGGAAGGTGTAAGGTTGACTTTGTTTTCCTTCAGCTGGAAGAGACTTTGCATTGAGGTTAAATGCTGAAGGGAAAAGCAAGCAGTGGAAAGGTGTGGGGGGGATGGCTTCCAAGTTCTTGCCCAGGATGGTTGTTGAGGGGAGACCTGGGTGCCATTCACAAGGACCTGGAGAGGCGAATTCGCGTGTTGAGGTCCCCGTGAGACGATAGGGGAGCACTCCTGTAGGCAGCTTGAGCTCGGTGGGAAGGCAGGGCTGCTGTGTGAGAACGTGGGGTGCCGGCCAGAAGTGGTCCTCGCTCGAGCCCAGCCGGGTCGAGCTGAGGAATGGAGTCAGGCTTGTGTTTAGGAGGGAAGGGTTTGTGCCCCGGGGCAGAGGAGAGGAGTGGTGAGCCGCAGGGGGTGGGGCCACAGGGACGCGGAGCGGCCTGGCATTCCACCAGCAGGACCGGGAGTGGTGCATGGGACACGGACACACCAGGTGTGGAGTGTTGGGGACGGTTCAGCAGTGGGAGAGGGGAGGGCTGGCCCTGGTGGGCAGGTCAGGAGGCCTCTGGGCACAGATGGCGCTTGTCTGCACGCCAGGGCAGAGCTGGAGCCGCAGCGGCTCCGGAAAGAGCTGTGTTTGCTTTTTCTTTTTTACACCAGCAGCTCAGGTATGAGGTTTGCATTCTGTGTGCCTCTGTGCCGCTGCCGCCGCCTCTCAGACTGAGCATCTGACCAGGTGGGAGACTGTCTCAGTCTGTTGGTGAGGTTTGAGGGTCTCACACAAGAAGAGAGTAAGTGGGACCACTTTCCACTACTATTCTGACACGTGTCCGAAGTCAGATCCTTTCGATGTGCACAGACCAATCCGCAATCATGAATAACATTGTTTTTTTCTTTTTGGTAAAACAAATGGGGTGGCTGATGGTTGTTGGCTTCTTAATTTGGAATATTTCATGAAGAAAACAGCCTCTTATTATCAGAAGTACTAAAACACTGTGTTTACATTTGGGAGGTGGGGGTTATTTCCAGTGTCAGACTGCTCAGTTGTGTGTCGTGAGGCTTACTGTTGAAGGAGCAGGTGTGTGCAGGGGGTGGGCGGGCAGGCTCCAGCTGCAGCCCGACGAGCCTCTGCAGGGGGGTCTGAAGGCCTCGGGAGGCCGTGCTCTGCCCTCGGTGGCCTTCGCCGTGTCGTCTGTGGACATTAGAAGTACACCTGTCCCACGCGAAGCTAGCTTATGAACTGTGATTTAGGCTTCGTGTGACTGGTTTTAGACATTCGTTAACTGCGACTTGATGGTTTTCTGTTCATATTTTGCATCCAGTAAAATTTTTTTTCAGGTCTTGAACATTTTTACAGGCCCTTGAGTGGCTCTGAGGCTGTAGGGGCTGGACCGAGGGTGCTGAGGTGGAGGTGCCCGCCTCTCGGGGGCCTGGGTGCCTCTGCAGGGCAAACTTGCAGGAGCCTTCAGGAGGCGCTGAGCTGTCTGCCGGAAACCTCAGCAGGGCTGACGTGACTTCAGTGAGCGCTTTCTTTCAATAAGATAATTTGACTTTTTATTTATTTATTTTTATAGAGGAAAGGAGAAACATCAATTGGTTGTCTCCTGCACGCCCCCTACTGCGGATCGAGCCCAAAACCCGGGCATGTGCCCTGACCGGGCATTGAACCAGGACCTCTCAGTCCATGGGACCATGCTCAGTCCGCTGAGCCACACCGGCCGGGCAGCTAGTGCTTTCTTGTAAGAGCAGGGGTAGGTGTAAGGCTGCTCACACGCCAGCGCACCAGCAGGAACGCAAGCAGCTCGTTGATAAGCCGCCGTCTTTCCCATGGACAGTGGGGTCTCTCAGGGCATCTCTGTGTCTTTTCTCTGCCCTACAGCTTCTGCTTCCTCCTGGCTTCGGTTTGCTATGACCCCTGTGACCTCTGCCGTGTCTTCCCCATCATAACCTTTCAGCTTCATCTCTCTCAGCCAATCACCTTCTTCTCGGCACTGGGACTCTGACTGGGTTGTTGCGTCTGTTATTGTTACCCGCCACGCCAGAGGTCCCTGAACAGCTCGTGTCGGGAGGCTGCGCGTGGCCTGCATGCCGTAGTGAGGGGCCACGTGGTCCCGGCAGCCAGGTCCGTCCTGGGCGGACACGGTGACCGGCATGTGTAGTTCAGTGAGAAGAAATGTCCTGGCCCAGTTCCAAGTGTGCCCTGGAGAGTGTTCCCTCACAGAAACCCCAGCCCCTGACTGCGTGGCGAGCCGTTCACTCTCCGCTTCCCTCCCGTGTCGGTCTCGGGCACCGCACGGCCGCTGGCCATCCCGTGGCGCCATTTCCCACGGCCGTGGCTGGTGCTGAGAATGGTTCTCTTACTTCAGGCCGCTGTTAGCAAAGTCGGGCAATCTGCCTCCTGTCTTCCACATAGTTCCTTTCCCTCCAAGTTCTGGGGATCTGTGTGGTCACGTGGTAATTTACTACTATCCCCAGATTGACAGAATTTAGAATAGAAACTAAATGTCCCATCTGAATGTCAAGATGGCAGCATTTTTTTAAAAAAATTTTTTATCCTCACCCAAGGACATTTTTGCATTTATCTTCAGATAGAGTGGGAGAGAGGGGGGAAGAGAGAGAGAGAAACATTGATGTGAGAGAGAAACATCGATGTGAGAGAGACACATCGAGTAGTTGCCATCCACACAACCCCAACCGGGGCCGGGGACAAACTCCAACCGAGATTCGTGCCCTTAGCTGGGGGGAACTGAACCCGGGACTCTCTGGTCCACAGGCCGACGCTCTAACCACTGAGCCAAACCAGCCAGGGCAAGATGGCAGCATTTTGATACCTAAGTCCCTTCATATGTGACAAACTTCCCAAGAAGTGATGTTTCCTAAACTTAAAAATAGATCTTAAACTCTGTCCCCAGTGACTCTTAGCAATTATAAAAAATAGTGGGGTGGAGGGGTAGTAAGTGGAATAAATTAAATAATAATGATGACAGCTAGTCTTTGTTGAGCACTTAAGATTTTCCAGGCACTATTTTAAGTACTTCTCATGCATTAACTTATTTAATCCTTAAACTACCACGTACGGTTACTTTATGAGGTCAGGTGCCTTTGTTGTCTCCACGGACTCCATTAAGGCCTTCGGCGAAAGGTGGTGCGGCTGGGGTGTGGTGAGCCCGGGACTGACCCTGACTGCAGGCCAGTCCGTGCCCTCCGTTCTGCCCTCACTGCGGAGTCAGCTGGAGAACGGGCTGAACCCTCCTCACCTGCAGGTTGTCCATTGGACGGCCTTGCTGTCAGGAGGCTGACGTGAGGACGTGGAGCGAGGTGTGGGTGCTGTCCGGCTTTTCCTGCTGAGGTTTCTCAGGTGTGCTCCTCCCCTCTCTGGCCCTACATGCCTTGGATCCCATAGATTTACATAAACCCCGAATTTAAGTGGGTCTGCCTTATCTTCTGAGCTAGGACCCCACCTTTGTAAGAGTTCCCAAAAAACTCTGTGGTCCCAAGTTCTCCACGATGCAGACTCTCTGCGTTTCTCCACCAGCAGGACCCCAGGCGCCTGGAGCCTTTGACCACTGCGGCCCTGCCTCTTCCGGGAGGTCTGGGGCTTCGACTGCTGGCACCGCGGTAAGTTCTCCCCTCATTGCTCCGTTCTTGTCTGCACGGAGAATCCCCTCAGCAGTTCCAAACTGAAGCCGTCCCTGGAGCCGGCTCGAGCCTGAGCCCTGGGCTGCTAGACCTTGACGCCCTCCCTGACGTCTGAGGACAGAGGACACCTCTACTCCTCTGCAGCCGGGTTTCCGACGCCACGGGAACCCTGGGTCCCTGCAGCTCCACCCTGCCGCCCGCTTCCTCTGCTGGCCCTGGACCCGCGCCGTGCTGTCCTTCCCCGTTGTCCCGCTCTTCCCTGCGGTGCCAGACTGGCCTTTCAGCCGAGTGTGCTCTCCACTCGCTCTGGTGTTTCCCCAAGACTCAACAGCAGCCTGTGAGAGTTCTCGGAAGGCTTCTGACCCGGGTCTGGTTCAGTGCTGGCCCCTGTACGGACCTGATCCTGAGGGCGCTGTGTCTCCGGCACAAGCATGGTTCCCGCTGCTTTTTTTAGAGCCTTTTATTTGTGATCATTTTTTAATGGTTTTTCCCCTTTGACTTAAGTCAGGAAGATAGCAGGAGCCCTCCCTGGGGCGGGCGTCTGTGTGTCTCATCGGGCGTGGCTGAGATCGAGGACCCTGGCTGAGCCTGCAGTCTGGGCTCCACGGCTCACACCCCTGCTAGAGCTGTACCGCTGGGAGCAAGAGAGAACCCGTCTCCATACCTCTGGCCTCGAGGGACAGTTGCAGGGTGGAGACGAGGCTGTCTTCTTGAGTGGCTGACACCCTCCCTCCCTCTGTCTGCACCCTGCTGTGCGGACGTGGGTGAGAGGTCCGAGGTGGAGGTGGAGTGGTGTGCGGATTCCTGTTCATGCAGCGCTTACTTTGGTCTCAGCCCAAGGTTATCACTGATACAGGGAAAGGAGTCCTCCACCTGATCTAGCCGGGCTTGTTGACTGCTGCAGCAGGAACTGGTTTACAGGCCTGGTGACCGCCGGGTGTCCCTTCGTTTTCCACCTGGAGCCCCTAGAAGGAAGACCGCTGGCCAAATCTGAGATGTCTTTAAGACCATGCATTTCAGAAATGACCTTGATTACCCCCCAGTGCCAGTCCTCCCAAGTCAAAGCCCGAGCACTGATGTTCTGCGTGTTTGCTGTAGCCCTGCTCTGGCCTCCAGACAGGCGGCGACAAGTTTCTGTCCCTGACAGTCCTGAGTGCCGATGGCCAGGTCTGCCCGCTTTCAGGACGTGCAGGGCTCCGAGTGAGTCTGTGCTGGGAGAAGCCAGCTGCTCTTCCCGGGCCTGCGGCCCACAGCCCCCTCCCCATGTGAGCTTCCTGGGCCAGTGGGCCCCGCCCCCTCCCGTGTGAGCTTTGGTTCCTGAGCAGCGCAGGTTCCGAGCTGCGACTCGGGTCTAAAGGCCACCGGTACTTGAGGCACTTAAAGTAGCAATTCATAGAGACAGGAAGTGCGGAACTGCAGTTGCGGGCTGCAGGGCGGGGGAGGGGGCGTTGGTCAGTGGGGACAGTGATTGCTTTGCAAGATGAAAAAGTTCTAGAGGTTTTTTTTCAAAATAATATTAATACACTTGTAACACTACTGAACTAGACACTTAAAAATGGTGAAGCTGTTGCACTGACCAGTTTGGTCAGTGGTTAGAGCGTCAGCCTGTGGACTGCAGGGTCACACATTTGATTCTTGGTCAAGGGCACGTACCTGGGTTGCAGGTTTGATCCCTGGCCCCTGTTGGGGTCATGTGGGAGGCAGCCACTCGATGTGTCTCTCACATCAGTGTTTTCTCTCTTCCTCCCTCCCTTCTTCCCTATCTGAAAATCAGTGGGAAAATATCCTCAGGTGAAGATTTTTTAAGAAATGATGAAGATGCTAATTTTTTAACCATAATTTTGAAAATGCATTAAAAAAAACCTAGCCAAAACCCAAATCCCAAACATTCTGTCCTGCCAGGGTCACTGAGGACAGTCTTGCTAGAGCCCACTTCCATTTCTGTCAAGACTGCCGGGCCCAGCGTGTCCTTCCTCCCCAGTGAGCCAGGCAGCTCTCTTGCTTCCACTCCGGGTGCGGCGTCTGCTCCTTGTCTTCGAGGACGTGGACTTTGTCCACTTGGGCCTTACTGTTCCTGGCAGGAGGAGGAGGGAGCGAGTGCAGTACAGAGTCGTCCTCTCAGATGAGAGGCATTGGTGCTCATCTCCCCAGCCTCCTGCTACCTCCCCAGCCGACCACCCAGCCCCTGCTGCCCAGAATAGGACCCCCACCCCCACCTTGGAGCAGGACCCCTGGCCTGGCCGCGCTGTCCCTTGAGGAACATGGACCCACAGAGTCAGCAGAGGGCAGACGTCCCCTCTGTGCTCAGGGCGCCTGCGTGTGTCCGGCGTGTGTCCTGGAAGGGTTCCATGTTTTCTCAGTCCCTCCGTGTCCCCTTCCTGAGGGGCTGAGCTCCGCAGCTCTCTCCCCGCCCAGTGAGGGAGATGACGCCTATGTGGGGCCGTGGGCCTCTAGGTTTCGGGGTGGCTGCCTGGCAGTCACGCAGCTGGGGAGCGATCAGGAGCCGCATTAGGACTTGGCTGCAGTCCTGTGCTCTGCCCGCCAGTGACTGCCCCCTGGTGCCCGTGAGTCAGTCAGCTGGATGATGGGCCGGGGCCTGCGCACAGCGTTCACTCAGGGGCCGCCATCAGAGCGCGTCACTGGGCGTACCATCACTTAGGTGCATGTGCAGTGTTGGGGAACGCGGTCATGGAGCCCCGCTGTGAAGACGTGTCCCTGAAGTCAGATGTGTTCCCAAACAGTCCTGGGACTACACAGGGCCAGGAGGGAACACTGCGTGGGAAGGGAGGCAGGGAGACCGTCCTGTGGGCCTGAGCCGTGCTGTTCGCACAGGGAGGCCGCCCTCCAGGCCTGGGACCTCTGCGTGGGCAGTGGAAACGGGTGGGTGTGTCAGTCGCTCATTAAAATAAGGGAAATAAGGAAACTCATATTTATTTAGCCTCAGCTGTGCTATGGGCACTCTGATAGGTACTTTCACATTCATTATCCTCTTTAATTATCACAGCAAAGTGCCGTAAACATTATTACCTGTTTTTCCAGAGGAGCCCGAGCGGAGCAGGGCAGAGCCCAGGCCCGCAGTCGTCTGCGCAGCTGGCTCACTGTTGGGGAGGACGTGGCTGGGCGGGAGCTGGGGAAGGGACGCCTGTGCCGTCCTCACTGGACCCAGGAGAGAACCTGCCATCGCTCCGTCCTTACTTTCTGTGCCCTTCTCTGGAGCTGGTTTCACGGTTTGAGTGGTCATTCCTAGCTCAGGAGCCGTCGGGCCAGACCACAGGAAGAGCAGCTTCCTGAGGACAGAAGTAAAAGCGGCTCTCCCCGAAGCTCACCGACACCCAGAGCCCGGGCTTAGCCGCACGGCCTCGGTGGAGGGAGGGCGGTGCCTGAGGCACGGTGAGGCAGTCCGCAGAGGCTGCTGGATCACAGCCCAGGCCGGACCGGCCGGCTCTTTGAGGAGCCTGCTCGGGGCGCTCCAGTGATGGTGGTGCGTAAACACCCCAGCAGGCCGTGGGTGAGTAGGGACCCGGAATCCATCAGCAGCTGGGCATGCTGGGTGGGGGCTGAGACCCGGGTAATGGCACGTGCTTGGGCCCGGGCCCACAGTGCGCTGGGTGTTGTCCCTGCGGCTGGTGAGGTGTGAGGAGTGACCAGGAGGCCTTTGTGGTGCGTCTAGGGCCCTATCGGGCGGGGCTTCACTGTGGCCATGACGCCGAGGTGGCCCGGGGCCGTGCAGAGGGATGGTACGAGGGCAGCAGCTCTGCTCTCTGGAAGCGGGGTGCTAGTGAACGTGGGACTGTGAAGGGCTGCTGGGGCTGGGGGCCTGCGTGGGGTCGCAGAGGGCCTTCCACTCCAGGACCAGTGGTGGTGGCCTCCCATAGTCCTGGGCAGTTCTGGGACAGACAATGGAGCCGAGGTAAATGGACTGGGCCTGGGTAGCTTGAGCAGCTAAGTCTTTCTATATCTTGTTAGGCGTATTTTCTTTTTATTACTTTTTATTGATTGATTGATTGATTGATTGGAGAGAAAGAAAAACACCAATTTAGTGTCCCACTCATGTATGCGTTCATTGGGTGGCTCTGGTGTGTGCCCTGACCTGGATGGAGCCTGCAGCCTTGACCTATGGGGATGACATTCTAACCCACTGAGCTACCCGGCCAGGGCCTCTGTGTATTTTCAAGTGGGCTTTTCTGATGGTGCAGTGAGGAGGTGCCCAGGCCCCGGAGGCGGGCAGGGCGGTGGCCTTGAACAGACAGATGATCTTTGAGCCTTGCTCCTTGGCCGTGTGCAGGTACCAGGCACCAGATGGCCCAGCCTGTGGACAAGGCTGAGCAGAGGCCTCACCCCCCTGGGAGCTGGACTGCTGCCTGGTTAATATCTGATGGTTTTGACTTCTTGGGCTTCCTGATAATGTGTGAAGAGGAGCTCCTGGCCAGGCTGGGACCACTTTCCGTGTTCTCCTATGCACAGGGGCATCTGTGTCCAGGGGACAGTGTCAGACATCAGCGTGGTGCTGGACTGGATCCCAGTCCCGCAGGAACGTGGGGAGGGCGGGGCCTGACGGCGGTTCAGAGTCCTGTGAACACCTGTCTGTGGAGAGTTTGCCTCCAGTGTTCACTTCCCGTCCTCTCGTGTACGAAACTAGATTTGGGGTTATTTTGGAGGAATTTAGGGGCATTTTCTTGCATCCAGAATCAGAATGGCTGGTGATGGAAGTAACTAGCCACAAGGAAGCTCACCGGCAGCTTGTTCGCACACTTCCAGCTTTAGATCTGGGCGTGAGGGGACCTCGACCTCTCTGCTCTCTGGAGCCTTTGCACCCACGGAACTTTCCGTGTGTGTGGGCTTCAGGCACCCAGCACCCTAACAGGAGTGAAACTGGATGTCACAGTCATTTAGTAACTAGTTTATTTGAATGTGACGGTAAGACTTTCACATATCAACATAAATGACATTTTTATGAAAAAACATCTATTTTGTGCAACAAAATATTTAGCAAGAAGAGCAGCAGTATTCACACTTTGGCAACTGTCTTTGAATGTATGGGGAGCCTGGCCGTGTGGCTCGGGTGAGCTGACCCTGCACCAAGAGGTTGCTGGTTCGATTCCCAGTCGGCATGTGCCTGGCTTGTGGGCTGATCCCCAGTGGGGCTGCAGGAGGCGGCATCGATGTTTCTCTCTCCCCTTCTCTCTCTCAAATCAATAAAGAAAAATAAATACATGTGTGAGGCTTGAGTAAGACATCTGCCCCTGTGTTCAGGCTCTGCAGTGTGTTGTTGTGGCTGAAGTGAAGGCATGGGCCTCACCCAGGTGCGGTGGTTGGAGACGGGATTCAGAGGCCTCTTCAGATAGCTGTAGGCTCATTGGTGCCGCAACACCGCTGCTGGACAGTGGTCAGCTCTTATGACCAAGGTGTAGCCTGAGACCCAGTCTGGGAGCTGTCTGCTCTGGGGTGTGGGGCACACTGGTCTCACCATGACCTTCACCCCCCGCTGGCTTCGGGAAACACCGTGCGCCGGCTGCAGGGAGCTCGCAGGCACTCACACCTCCCGTGCGTGTCCACACCACTGTGTCGGCGTCCGCGCCTGCTCGCTGGAGGTCTTCACCTGGTGGGAAAGCGCAGAGCTCACGGTGCAGACACGTTTTCCAAAACCCCAGCTGTCATCTGAGAGCTGTGGGCAGACCTGCGAGACCTCAGAGGTGCCTCACCGTCAGGGAAGTTGTGCTTTTTCAAAAACAAGAAGAGGGGTCCTTTTCACTGGTTTTTTATGTAAAGATGTAGTTGTTTTCAAACGACGTTGGGTTTGCTGAGCCAGCAGTCCGAGTTGAGAGAACACACTAAACTGGAAAAGGAAAGGGCGGCCGAGACGTCCTCGGACGAGCAGGTGGTGGCCCTGGTGCAGTGGGTGCACCGGCCGTCGGGGTGCTGGGTGTCCTCAGAAGGCTCCCGAGTTCTCGGCCAGGACTCGGGGTGGCCGTCTGCTGCTGAGACCGGAGTGTGGGAAGACGCCAGCTCCCTGGCAGTCAGGTCGAAGCGTGGGCCGAGGTGCCAGGACAAACGTGCTCGGCAGGTTTGAGGACTACAAAGGCAGAGTGGTGTGCGGTGGCCAGGGTGTGGGGGAGGGGAGACCGGGCAGAGCCAGTGGCCAGCGCCTGCCAGCCCGCAGGGCACATGCACGGAAAGAGTGTTGGGAGGTTGAGGCAGGGAGGGAGGGGCAGGAACGACACAGACGTGATGGAGAGCACGCGGACAGTCTGCGCACAGCCAGGTGGGCGGGTGGGGATGTCCTGATGGGGAGGGTTCGCAGGTGGGGCCGGGGGAAGCGGGGCTGGCCGACCTGGGTGGGTGCTAGTCAGTGCAGTGTGCCAAGATGGGGAAGCTGAGGAAGGAGCCATTGTGGGGGTTGGGTTGGGAAGGTTATTTGGGGTGCTCGTGGCAAAAATGGGAATAGCCAGGGCTGGAGGTGAAGCTGGGGAGCCAAGCTCACAGTGTGACTGAGGTGACGCACCTGGAGAGGTGGTCGATGCAGAAGAGGGGTCTCCAGGTGGCGCCCGGGAGCACCCCTACCTTTAGAAGTTGAGCAGAGGTCAAGGAGTCTCCAGTGAAGGCAACAGGGAGAGGTGGGTGGATGGCGGGCAGGGGATGTTGTGCAGGCCAGGGAGACAGTGTGGCACATGGTCCACGGTCCGTCCAGCAGCCAGGACAGTGCCCCTGCAGAGGCCACCGCAGCCTGGATGAGAGCTGTTCTCAGTGCTGCAGAGCCCGAGCCTGGCTGGGAGCGCGGGGGGCGGAGTCTGAGCCAGGAAGACAGGACGCAGAGGCCACGGGCCAGCTAGTGGGGCAGAAAGGACAGAGAGACTGGAGGTCCTGTTGGATCTGAAAGCTGGGAGAACAGGATGTTTTGGTCAGAGGATAGAGCTTCTGCCAAGGTGGCCGAGCTGCTGACAGACTTGTGAGCACACCCTGCCAGCCCTGCCGGGTGCGGGGTGGGAGGCCCTGGCTGAGCTCGGTGCGGGGAGGCTGCTTGTCTCCCCTGGCTTCAGGTCTTCCCACAGGGACCATCTGGTAAGCACAGGCTCACCGGTTTTCTTTCTTTCTGTTATGGGGAATTTCAAATAAACTCGGAAGGCGAGGAAGTAACAGTGTGCCCACTCCTATGTACCCGGGTTCAGAACCATCAGCTTTTGCTGTTTGTTCCATGTGCTTTTCTGCTCACTGGGTCACACGTGGACAGCTCCAGGCCGCACGCGGGGGTCGGTGGCTGGTGGGTGCTGGGAGCCCTGCAGCCGCACCTCAGGAAGGAAGCTAATTGCACCCAGACATCTGTCCTTGAGTTCCCAGGTGTGCCGGTCCCCATCTCAACTGACTGGCAGCACGTCACTCGCTTCTCTGAGGGGCAGGACGTCTGCATGTCCCGGCTGCCTGACAGAACCCTGTCGAAGCGCTGGGTGGCATGCTCGGTGGGACTCAATCGGACCCTCTGCTCCTGTGCTCCACTTCGTTCATACAGCTCCTGCTCTCCCCCCTGCTCCCCAGACTTCCAGAGGCTCACCGCCTGGCCCCACACCACCTCCCTCCCTCACCAGCCCCTCGTCTGTAGAGTGAAGGCTGCCCAGAGAGCGTTTCAGCTCCGGAAGCAACATCGTCCCTTCTGAAGTTCAAAGTGGAGATAGTTCCTCTCTTGTCCTTTTTTTTTTTTCATCCTCCCCTGAGGACATTTTTGCGTTCATCTTCAGACAAAGCAGGAGGGGGAGAGGGAGGAAGGGAGAGAGAAACATCGATGTGAGAGACACATGGAGTGGCTGCCACCCACATGACCCCAACCGGGGCCGGGGACAAACTGCAACCAAGGTACATGCCCTTAGCGGGAACCGAACCCGGGACTCTCTGACGCTGTAATGGCTGAGCCAAACTGGCCAGGGCCCCTCTTGTCCTTTATATAGGCGGCTGCTGCTCGTGCCCACTCAGCCTTTGAGGACCCCCCATTTTCCAGCAGTGCCCCATGTCCAATAGCTGACCCCCCTCTTCCAGCAGAGCCCCGCTGTCCAGATAGCTGACCCCTCTCTTCCAGCAGAGCCCGCCGTCCAGATAGCTGACCCCCTCTTCCAGCAGAGCCCGCTGTCCAGATAGCTGACCCCTCTCTTCCAGCAGAGCCCGCTGTCCAGATAGCTGACCCCCTCTTCCAGCAGAGCCCCCCTGTCCAGATAGCTGACCCCCTCTTCCAGCAGAGCCCGCCGTCCAGATAGCTGACCCCCTCTTCCAGCAGAGCCCCCCTGTCCAGATAGCTGACCCCCTCTTCCAGCAGAGCCCCGCTGTCCGGATAGCTGATCCCCTCTTCCAGCAGAGCCCCCCTGTCCAGGTAGCTGACCCCCTCTTCCAGCAGAGCCCCGCTGTCCGGATAGCTGACCCCCTCTTCCAGCAGAGCCCCGCTGTCCGGATAGCTGACCCCCTCTTCCAGCAGAGCCCCGCTGTCCGGATAGCTGACCCCCTCTTCCAGCAGAGCCCCGCTGTCCGGATAGCTGACCCCCTCTTCCAGCAGAGCCCCGCTGTCCGGATAGCTGACCCCCTCTTCCAGCAGAGCCCCGCTGTCCGGATAGCTGACCCCCTCTTCCAGCAGAGCCCCGCTGTCCGGATAGCTGCCGCAGGCACTTGTGTTGCATTTGCCCTGGGCTGTGAACAGGAGCATGACATTGCAAATTCTCTTCTTCAGCCCTGCAAGTCCAAGGACACTGCTCTCAGAAGATAAGAGCCTCTTTCTCAAGATCAGTAAAGGTCTGTGTTGCTGCTCTCACACTTAGGTCAGATTAATTATGGAATCAATAGCGGTTTTCTGGACAGAAAGGCATTTTCACTGTGTTCATTTCTGTTTCTGTTGCAGGTGAGGGGAGGGATACCTGTGCAGGGATCCTCGGGAGGGCAGAGCCGCACACCTGGACCTGAGGAGCTTGCTTCCTGGGAAGGCTCCCATCTGATGTGCAGGAGGCAGAACGTCAGACTGACTCTCCAAGGGGAGCCTGCAGGGCACCGAGACCAGCGCGCAGTATCTCGCCCTCGACTACAAGGGCCCCTGTGCCGTCCTCTCTCTGCAAGTGAGAAGTTCGAGACTGTCCTACAAGAGGCAGCTTCCAGGGGCTTAAAGACGCAAAGGTTTGCACCTCAGGAGCCCCTTGGAATGTTGACAACTCAGGACCTGAAAGACAGTTCTGTGTTACTGAGTTCCAGCATTCACATGGGAGTAAATGTCACTGTATAACCAGCCACACTGAGTGAGGAACACTATGCAGGAAGAAGCCTTCCGTAGAAAGACAGGCAGGGAGAAGCTTAGGCCGACCTGCGCCCTCCCCAGCAGAGCCAGCCTGAGAGAAGCTGCCGTGATGGCCAAATGAAGGCGGGGCCGCCCAGCCCTGAGCTGTAGTCGAGCCCCCTCGGAGTCCCGATACCAAATAGGAAACATGATCTACAAGTGCCCCATGTGCAGGGAGTTTTTCTCTGAGAGAGCAGATCTATTCATGCACCAGAAAGTCCACACTGCCGAGAAGCCCCACAAGTGTGACAAGTGTGACAAGGGCTTCTTTCACATATCAGAGCTGCACATTCACTGGAGAGACCACACAGGAGAGAAGGTCTATAAGTGTGATGATTGCGGTAAGGATTTTAGTACCACAACCAAACTCAACAGACACAAGAAAATCCACACAGTAGAGAAACCCTATAAATGTTATGAGTGTGGCAAAGCCTTCAATTGGAGCTCACACCTTCAGATTCACATGAGAGTCCATACAGGTGAGAAGCCCTATGTCTGTAGTGAGTGCGGGAGGGGCTTCAGCAATAGTTCCAACCTGTGCATGCACCAGAGGGTCCACACCGGAGAGAAGCCCTTCAAGTGTGAAGAGTGCGGGAAGGCCTTCAGGCACACTTCCAGCCTCTGCATGCACCAGAGGGTCCACACGGGAGAGAAGCCCTACAAGTGTTATGAGTGTGGGAAGGCCTTCAGCCAGAGCTCGAGCCTCTGCATCCACCAGAGAGTGCACACTGGGGAGAAGCCCTACAGGTGTTGTGGGTGTGGGAAGGCCTTCAGCCAGAGCTCCAGCCTCTGCATCCACCAGAGAGTGCACACTGGGGAGAAGCCTTTTAAATGCGACGAGTGTGGGAAGGCCTTCAGCCAGAGCACCAGCCTCTGCATTCACCAGAGAGTGCACACAAAGGAAAGAAACCATCTCAAAATATCAGTTATATAAAGCATTTTGCTAATAGTGAAAAATCTTAAAACCCATAAGTGCCACTAGGAAGGAAACCCTATAAATACCTGCATTGACCCAAGAAATTTTTACAGGAAGCCCCAGCAGAACATTCTTTCTGAAGAGGCGTGCGGGAGGCTGAGTGTTTTCATCCACGCCAAGGGTGCTCCACACCTTGACTTTGAGTCGAATCCCTCCAGGTGTCTGCCCAAGATGGGATTTGAGGGCCCATGTTTCCCCATCTATGAAAACGGGGGTGTGCATTCCTGGGGCCCCGGCACGATGCCTCGGTAGTTGCATATGACACAGGGAACCCTGGCCAACGCCCAGCCTCCCAGTCACCCTCTGGACGCTTCCCCAGCTGTAGCTGCCCAGCTGCTTCTTCGGGAGCTCAGCCCCTTCTCTTGATTCAGGCATATCGGTTAATCAGGCATTTGGAACGGACAGCTCCCACCACGACAGCGCTCTGGTATTTCTGAGGTTCCACTCGATTCAGCCCCTGCCTACCTTTCCATAGACCCCATTATTTCTGAACCCACTGCCTGTATGTCCTCAGAATACTCATAAATACCCACCCTTCCTAGATGGCGTTAAATTTCATTTTAGGTTTTAGGTGACTCGGAAGTCCCACCAGTTGATGAGGAATCGCTGGCAGACACGTGCCCTCGAGCTGTTCTTTTAATTTTGTGGATTCTTCTAATCACTGCGTTTCTGTTAGACTTACTCTTCTAGTGGCCGCATCACATGTTTTTCACTTGAATTTTTGGCAGTAGCTGAATGTAAATAGCAGGAGGGAGAAGCACAGTTAGAACTTTCCTGCGTCCGAAGGCCCCCGGGCTCCTGTCACAGCGCCCCACCCTGCAGGCAGCCAGGAGGTGGCGGAGTCACTGGTGGTCTCTGGGGCGTGGCAGTTACGAGAGGCGTCCTCGCGGCCCTTCCGTGAGGGTTCCATGTCAGTTCCTTTCTAGGCACGGTGTCCGTGCTGATTGTCCTTCCCTTCATTCATCAAGTGTTGATTGGACACCTCCCACGTCCGGGAATACCACTGAGTGACAGACAGGGCCCCACTCACGGAGTTCACTCCTGGTGAAGGAGACAGGCGACAAGCAAGTAAACAAATAACGTAGTTTGAGATAGTGATTAAGTGCTATGAAGAAAATAAACTAGGGTGATGAGTTAGAGGGGTGGGGCGGGGTGGGGGTGGGGCATCCTTAGGTAGCAGTCAGGCGAGCGAGGCCCTCCGAGAGTGGCGGTGAGCGGCACGGCCCTGGGGACCTGCTGGAGTTGGTGGGATGGCGGTGGGGCGGAGTAGTGAGCAGCAGGCGGGCGCCGAGCTGCTTCGTATCTGACATTTATAGGCCTTTTTTTGGGGGGGCTGGGTTGGTACTTAAAACTCATGTGGAAGAGCTCGAGGAATGTTGAGACCAAGAATCCCCAGTGAGGAGAGCAAACAGTGACTCCAACTTTGTTTCTCTTCTCGTTCCTGTTTGCATCCACTGCCCACATGTAGTCCTTTCGCTCAGGAAGTCGGGGGGAAATCAAGGGTCTTTGAAGCTCTGAAACGGGTGGCCATGTGCCCATGTGTCTGCGCTGTCACAGAGGCTGGGAAAGGAACCACCCAAAGTAGTCATGGAAACGCTGAAACAAAGCTTGAGTTTCTCACGTTTGATTTTCTCCTGTTTGACTGGAAGGGGTTCTGTGTAAGCAGAGCCCCGGCGCACGAGGGGGACTGGAGAGGAGACCTGGTTCTGTGGGCGGCCATGAGCCGAGGGGGGACTTGGGTCACCGGCCGCTGTCTGGGTTTGACACCAGGCGTCGTGAACCAGCCTCCGGGCAGTCACTTCTCCTGCGTCCCCCTCGTCACCAGGGAGGGCTGGAGCAGGCCCGGACAGAGCCCTCCCAGGCCCGGTCCCTCGAGCACGGGTTACTGTAGCGTCTCATCACTCATGTCCAGCACGAGAAGCGGTAGAGAAGCCTAGACTTTTAGTTGATAGAGAGCCAGTTGAAATATCATTGATAAGAGTTTTAGTTTTAGGAAAAATTGGTTTGATTTCTAGCTTTATTACTATTAGGTATGTGAGCTTGGGCAAATCACTTAACCTTTGAGTCTAGTTTTCTCACAAAACGAGGATGTTAGGCTCACGATTCTGAGTTTCCAGCTAGTCCTAGAGTTCTATATTTCTACATAGTTGAATTATTTTATCATGCTGTTGCTGGGAATACGACTAACACTTTGGAAGCTACTAATTTTATGTCGAGCTTTAAAGTTCATAATTGTTGTCTTCAGAAAATATTATTTGACCTACAGTATGTCCAAATCAATTTAATAAAATCACTTTATAACAGGGCTCTGCGCCTCACTGTGGCTGTGAATTCAGTGGTGTGTGTGTGTGTGTGTGTGTGTGTCGGGGCTGGCCTGTGCATCGTGCCCGGGGTGACCATATAGCTCCTATGCGAGCACAGGGGCGGGTGCTGTCAGTACTTGAGTGGGGACGACAGGCCTGCGTGGGGACTCCCAGCAAACCGGGCTCACGCCCGAGCACGTAAGGACGGCTGCGTCACTCCTGACGGAGGAGGGGGGCCTGCAGACGGGAGGGAGCACGCCCTGCCCGGGACAGCCCTGCTCGGTGGCTGTCTCCATGGTTGGCACCCGCCCAGGGCTCCCACGCCTTCTGCCCTGGGGACTCTTCCACGCTGGCGATGTGTTCGATGTGTTCGCATTCCCTGTGGACCCACTGTGGTCATTCCTGTGACCTGAGGTGCCTGCAGGCAAGCCCTGGGCTAGGCCCTGGCTGGGAGGGGCTGTCTGCATCCCACAGCCTGGTGCCTGAGGCTGTGTGAGGGAGGCAAGGCTCACTCGCAGTGTGGGACAGGAGCCCGGTGAGCGGCGGGTGGCACCTCCAGGGTAGGAAGGGCTCCAGTCAGAGCCTGACAGTGGCCACGTGGCCTGCAGTGGGCGAAGGGGCCCAGGCCACCGCTGGGGCTTCTTCGTGGTGTGTGAGCAGAGCCAGGCGGCCTTCCGGGGGACCGCTGAGCCCCTGGTTCTGTTATCCTGAAAAATGCAATTATTAGGCATTTTTTCCTTAACGACTTGCTGCTGTTCTCAGAAATTTGAAAAATGAGGTGAATGGGAAGCAGATCAGAAACAGGTAGAAAAAGGACTCAGTGGTCAGCTCGACCCAGGGAAGGGATGGGCGGAGGGGTCAGGGGAGGGCGCGGTGCAGCGGTCCCTGTGGGACCTCCCGTTCCCGTCTCCGAGATGGGTCTGGAGATGCCCAGCTCAGCAGGTGGGAGTGCCCACGTTCAGTCAGACGACAGTGACGATCACCTTTGCCTGTCGGGAGACGAGCGTGTTCCTTGGGGCCCTTCCTGTTCTGCCGAACACCATGCTGGGTCCGGGCGTCTGAACTCAGCAGTAGGACTGGAAGGGGCTGAACTGCGCCACAGGGTCGGAGGGAGAAGAGCTTGAGCCCCTGCCCCACCCCCAGGATAGGCCGGGACAAGGAAACAGGGGAGCGGAGAAGGGAGGCGGAGAGAGGGGCCCAGTGGATGGAATCAGGGTGATGTAAACGCCCATGCTCCCGCACCCGATCCCCGAGAACCACAAACCTTTCCCTGAAGTCTCAGGATGCTTGGTCTGAGCGGGATTCGTGATGGAAACTGATGGCTGGACGGAGCGCTGGGTCCAAGCTGACGGGCAGGACAGAGGTCCCTCGCAGTCAACTCAGGAGCCAGGAAGGGTGGCCCCCGACCCTACGCCCCAAGGAGTGCGCAGAAGCCTCTGGGAGGCGCTTTTTATCACCCCGCCTCTAGAACATGTTCAATGCTCGTGAGCGAATGCAGAGAGCCCAGGCCTCCTTCCAGCCACGCCAGCAGGGGCTGGGGAACCAGTGGGCGGCGCCCCCCACCAGAGCCTGCATTGCTCGGGTTCAGGCATTTGCTAGTCGATACATCTTCAGCGGCAAGTAGTAGCGTCCATGGCTTGTTCTTGCTGATTTTCAGAGGAATTTGTACATTTTATAGACTTAAAAAATATATTTTTTTCCTTTATTGATTTTAGAGAGGAAGGGAGAGGGAGGGAGAGAGAGAAACATCGATGAGCGAGAACATTAACCGCCTCCTGCATGCCCCACCCTGGGGACCGGGCCCACAACCTGGGTATGTGCCCTGACCAGTAACTGAACCGACGACCTCTTGGTGCAGGGTCAATGCTCAACCTCTGAGCCACTATAGACCGTTTAGTGTGCACCCTGCCACTTTTGCTCCCTACATACTTCTGAGAATGTGTCCCCTCAGAGACGTCCCCTCCTCCAATTCTGGCCCCGGCCCCGGCCCCGGCCAGGTCTTCTCTGTGTCATGAGTTATGGTGGGAATGCTGTGTTAGGAGAGTTTTTAATCCTAAGACCTGTAGATGGGATTCAGAAAGGTCTAGAACCTCCTTAAATTGTGTGCGGGATTCTGTGTATATGTGGGTACATGCATTTTTCTAGGAAGGAGGGTTTTTGTTGAATTTGTGACCCTAATGACGCTCACAGAGGGAAAGATCTGATCTAGCCACAGTTACTGGCCGCACAGGGCGCCTCAGAGTTCAGAACAGCATTGGTCACGGGAACGAATAGAAAATGCTGGACGGGCCCTGGCCGGTTTGGCTCAGCGGTTAGAGCGTCGGCCTGCGGTCCGGAGAGACCCGGGTTCGGTTCCCGCTAAGGGCACGTACTTCGGTTGCAGTTTGTCCCCGGCCCTGGTTGGTCGTGCGGGTGGCAGCCACTCGATGTGTCCCTTCACATCGATGTTTCTGTCTCTCTCTCCCTTCCTCTCTCTCCCTCCCACTCTATCTGTACAAAAAATGGAAAAATATCCTCGGGTGAGGATAAAAAAAAAAAAAAAAGAAAGAAAATGCTGGACGGTGCACGGGAGGAAGCCCACTGCGCTGTGCTGGGAAGTGGGCGAAGGCGGTCGGCGTGACACGGACATGCACATAGTGCGCGTGTTACACGGGCTTGATCGATGCACTGTGTTACACGGGCTTGGTCAATACACTGTTACACGGGCGTGGTCGCTACACTGTGTTACACGGGCTTGGTCGACACACTGTTACACGGGCTTGGTCGATATACTGTGTTACACAGGCGTGGTCGCTACGCTGTGTTACACGGGCGTGGTCGCTACACTGTGTTACACGGGCATGGTCAATACACTGTGTTACGGTGCAATGTCACGGGCTTGCGTGAAAAGTTTCAACAATGTGCGAAGGTTTGTGTGGATGAGAGCAGCTAGCTTGGAAGTGGGAAGACTATCCATACGAACGGAAAACACGGAGATACCACCGAGTCTCCTCTGGTTGCGTGGAGGCGATTCTCGCTGCAAAGTTGGAGTGAGGTCCCCAGGGCTGGAGCCGGCTGTATTCAAGTCTCAAATAAACCTGTTCATGTCGCTTGGTGCTGTGTTCGTCCGTGTCTGATTTCCACCCTCGTCACTCGCCTGGAGTACAAAGTTAAGGTCATATCTCTCTCTCTCTTTTTTTTTTATCCTCACCTGAGGACATTTTTCCTTTTTTTTTGTTCAGATAGAGTGGGAGGGAGAGAGAGGAAGAGAGAGAGAGAGAAACATCCGACGTGAAAGGGACACATCGAGTGGCTGCCACCCGCACAACCAACCAGGGCCGGGGACTAACTGCAACTGAGGTACGCGCCCTTAGCGGGAACCGAACCCGGGTCTCTCTGGACCACAGGCCGACGCTCTAACCCCTGAGCCAAATCGGCCAGGCCAAGGTCATATCTCTTTACAGACATTGGAGCTGTAATGACCGTCACAGTAAAGCCATTAGTTAGGCGGTGGGTCAGAGGAGGAGCCCCTGACCCCTCGCTTTTGGCTATGTCCTATAAATGATGAAATGAAACACTCTCATGGTCACTGTTTTCTAAACAGCATTGATTTGTAGTTGCTTTTACCTCTTGCACCCAAGAATTATTTAGGAGAGTTGATTTAATTATTTCCAATTTTATGTGATCTCTTTTCCATCAATCATTATACAGTTCCTGGTTTTAAGAATGGGCACACACACGGAACAAACAAGGAATCTTTCCCTGGGGAAGTTGGAGAAGGGACCCTGCTCCCCCCCCCCCCCCAAAACCCAAATCATACTTCATAAAAGAATTTAAAATTCATAATTAGAATGG